GGTTAATTAGGTTAATTAGGTTAATTAAAGTGTTAATTAGGTGTCAACGATAGCCATGTGATGTGAGTATCAGTCACATGGAGGCAGGGCTTAAAAGCCTGAATTTTGCCTGAAACTCTCAGACTGAAGAAGTCTCTTGGAGAAGAGACGAAACGTTTCATTAGAGAAGAACCCGTCCAGAGGACCTACACAATTTTTTTCTTTTTAATATTTATTATTCTACATTTATACATTTTAGGCAACTAAGGCAAAAATGTAATTAATTTAGAAAATCTTTTCAGGACCCCACTTTGGGTCCCGACCCCAACTTTGGGAACCACTGCTGTAGCTTATTGAGGAACGCTTGTGAGTGTTTTGTGATATTTTTGAAACTTTCAAAAATTCTGCTTGCAATTTTTCTCTGATAGTCGCAGCCCAGTGAGAACCAGTCTTGGTACCACACCTTCAGACAGATGTTCCAAATTCAAGGTTTAGCTTTTGGCGACTTTTAGCTTTAAATAAGCTGCTGTTTATCTCTTGGTATTTATTTACACAAACTCTTTTGTCTTTTTATTTCCTCCATATGGGAATGATAGACTTCATTTAAGTCACTGTTGAATAAATAAAGCTTCAGTCAGAACATAAAGTGACCTGTGTACATTTCAGAGGAGTGGCAGGAAATAGTTTGACCAAACGTTTCTATCCTCTTGGCTTAGCACCAGAAATTCCTGACAAAACATCCACAAAAGATCGTCCATTCAAACATGACATGTTTGTAAAAGCTGGAACCATTTATTTTTCAGCCATGTATAGAAGTTCTTTTAAATTTAACTTCAAAGCAGAAAGCATTCCAATGACAAATACAGCTTCTTCTTCCTGAGATATTGATCTTTTAGTGTGACAGTAAAGCTATACAATTACCTAGCTTTATAAATAAATAAACAGAATTTATTTCTGTTTCCATGTGTTTAAACAAGACATTTTTTCGTTGAGTGTCACAGATCAAACCACTGAACTGTCTAATCAGAAAAAAATCATTAATTTTATTTATGGAAGTGCTTTATTTGACGCGCTGCTCGTAAACAAAACACATCTCTCTTTGTGTTTCTTCTCTTGAACATCATTCTTTATACATTTCCCTCATTTTCTGTTTCAGTGTGAGCACGTTGGCTCAACATGTGTTTCAGTTTATGTGCTGTTTGTTTTGCCTGCACACCAAGGCGTGTTTACTACAAAGGATGCAACGAAAAAAGACTCCAAATGAGGTTAATTGCACCTTGAGTCAGAGCTGAGGCTGAAAATAGGAGAACATTGTTTTAATTAGCCTCTTGTCACAGCAAGACGAAGAGAAAAACCGACTGGTTGCAGAGTGAAAGCAATACTGAGGCACAAACTTTTGTCAGCGTGAAATGTTTGAATTTTTGAAGTGTTTCCGGTCGATAATCAGCTGCCGAAACAGCTTGGATTGTATTGATTGTGTTTTAGCTTCAATRTGTTGCTTTGTTGTGTCGATTTCGGCTGATTTGATTATGAAAAAGCCTTAGGCGTAAATACTTGTGGCCTGAATTCATAAAACCTAAATATATTTGACAGAATTTAATTTAAGTTTACATACTTGTGTTTTGTTTCAGGTATAAGGATTACAGGGAACCCCCCTGGTCTCCAGATGCATACCAGTTCTCCAAACAGTTCTGGTGTGTCCTCTCTGCAAGACTGGCTTTTGTCATACTGTTTCAGGTATGTGTGTGAGTGTGTTGGGTATTTTTTAACTCACATTTTCATTATATTAATTATTTGCTTCTCAATGTTGTTGAGGTAAAGAGAGTGAGCACCTGCTGTAGGCACCAACTCTGTAATGTGTGGATCATGATGTTCTCTCTTTACAATCGGGGGTCTCATTGGTCAGAGTCCAGCTCCTTTGATGTTTGCACGCATGCGTGCGCGCGCGCGCACGAACACACACACACACCTAACATGTGTCCTCCAAATGTTCGTCCAGTGTTGTTGAGAACCTTTTTCAAATGAATGCTTGGAGACACATCATGAATCAGGAACACATCTGGGTTAGCCTACAGTTGCCCCATATGTTTCTTAAAAAGGCAGGGCCGCCACACTTTTTTTTAATCTAAAAACATTCTCCTCAAAAGAGCAACATCTTACTTTTTTTTTTAAAGAATCTAGTACCAATACAGCATCCATCACTTGGGCGAACCATGTCGACTTGAGATATGGAACATTTGCAGTAACACCACAGCAGACAATTTTCCCTCTTTTCCTCTATTGTATCCTAAGACTTTAGGGTGTCCCAAAACCATTTTTAAAAATCAAGTATGAGTTCAAGTACTTCAGTTTGGGTACTTCTTGATACTAAGTACTAACTGAGATAGAACTTGAACATTACACAATGACTTAAAAACACAATGGGCCTCATGCAAGAACCGTTCGTACACACAGATTTGTTCTTAAGTTGTGCGCACGAGTGATTTAGGAGAATTTGTGGCATTCRCCAATGTTTTCRTATTCKAAGATTTTTTTCAGATACGAACAAAATTCAGGAGTGGTCCAGACCTGTCGWATATTTTACGAGCAGTCAGTCTGCTGTTATCCAGATGGATTTTTCCTCCCTAATAACTTTACATTTCGTTAGTATGAAGATAATTTGAGTTGAAAATAAATCACACTCCATAATTATGTTGACAATAGGCTATTCTGCTTGAATTAGAGTTATAATTTTAAATG